CTTATACAATATAGTCTGTCTCGACATGATTGTGGATGCAGGGTCATCATCTTTGCTTTCATATTTTTCAGCACTGACAACTATCAAAATATTTAGTAAAATCTTTATTTTTCCATTGTGAAATCGTTGACTTTCGATTTAACATTATAATGCTATACATTCAACATATTAAATATTGATAAAGTTATTGTTTTGACTAACCCACACACAGTTCTCCCAAATGACATAAAAAGCTTTCTTTTTTCATTGTAAACTATGCGTGAATTATAAACTGACCATAGATATGCCCAAACATGTCTAGAGTGTTTGCATATTTAGACGTTGTTTTATTTACCTTTTTCTCCTTGACAGTCAATATAAACCCGTGCCGAGAGCTGAATAATTGTCATAAATGTAATTCATTAGATTTGAAGGATAAAGCTTGATCAAGAATCGTGCGTTTCTAGAAGATTTTACGCAGCCGCGCAACCAGGAAGAAGACCACTGCATGGCATCTCCATAAACAAGAAAACTGCGTTTTGAAACGCCAAACACCCTATAAGTGTCGTCTTCACTCGCAGAGTAAGATTGAAGAGAATCGTGAGCGTTTTTACACCGAAAGCGCCTAAATTTGAAAATCTTGGCACTGCGCACCGGACTGTTTCCTCCCACCGATCTAACGGATTTCTGCTGCTGCTCGACCATGAAAACCCTCAGAGAGTCACCATTTTATCATTCATCGTCTGTCTTTATATTCTGCAAGCGTAATAACAACAATCCATGCATCCACGACGCACGAACTCTAAAATAAAAGCGCATTGCTTATCCAAGCAAATATGGCACATTATTACATACGAATTCGTGGTTGAAACGTGTCCACTCGCTCCTGTCTGTAGTCTGGTTTTGAAATGAATGACTGCCACACACCACACGTCAAAATATTTGTTTTAGATTACTGCGAGAGAAAGCACATATTTAGATTTCATTGTGCATGCGTTTCTGTTGCCGTTTCGATATGGGTCAATAACAAATAAGGATGTTCGAGATTATGAAAAGGATATTTTGATAATCTCGTTTAAAACACGTGTATCAAGTTCCTAGATATGTGATCTTTGAATTCTTTGTTTCATACATTTAGGGGGAAAAACGTGTATGATTTAGGCTAATGACTATAAAATGTAGCTTATAGCAGTACCAAAATACAGTCCTTGCACCTTAATGTGAGTGTACATAACTTTTAGTAATCAATGTAAAGCATTTTTTTTATTATTAAATATCATTAATTTTTGAGTCTAGAAAATTTAGGATTAGGCCTATACTCAGTTCGACCTGAATAAGACGTGCCTTGTCATGAAAAGGTCAAAATATCTGAAAAAAAAGCCTTCATGTTTTTTTTTACTTATGCCACAGTATTTGTTAAATATTAATATTTTTTACATTATAACTTTTCATTCGAATTTTAAATATATATATATATATATATATATATAGGCTATATAACATATGACCCCTTTAAATAAGCACTGGTGTTGGAAAGCAATTACACACAAACTATTTTGCTATACTTATGTAAAACATGACATAAAGATATATGCACACAAATAAACACATTCTGGATCAACACAATGACTAACGATAATTTTTCTAATATGAAAGATTTTGACACTCAGTGACTGGGACAAAACAAAATACTGCAGTTGAGCAATTAAACAGACGTTGGAAAAACAATCAGACACAGGCCTGGGCAATCAGTTTGTGAAATGCAGATGAAAGGTCTGCCACATGATGCTCCCTCATGTCTCCATTTGGTTAAAATCGAACTGATCTTGTAGCAGGGTGACTTAAAATAAAATATGAATGGATGTATGAATGAATGAATGAATGAATTAATTAATGAATACATTATACAAATATTTTTTATATATTTTTTTATAAATTATAAATTGTATTGTTGTGTAGGTTTTTCTATGTGACCAATTATGTGTTTAAAATAGAATTACTGAATGAGCAAAAAGGAACTCCAACATTCATCTGAAGTAACCCTTATGCAATTCATTTTTCCTAGTATTAAAATAATAAAAAGGCCTCTCTTAAAATGTTCTCATGTATAAAAATATTATACTTTGCATTGGTCATTCAGTCCATTTTGAAAACCTACATAAGACGACTTAAGCAGCTGTTCGCATATAACTGTTAACTATCAGCTCAATCAAACTCTCCTGAAAGGTCAGATGTGGAGACCTCTACACCCACATTTGCTACAATCTATGAACAATACATCACAATTTATCACTGTAGTCACACTGTAAAAAGTGATGACATGCAATTGTTACGTTTAAGAGCTATTTCTACCTGATTGAACCCATAAGATTGAGTTTTGCTGGTATAAATTAATGTCACCATTTTTAGGTTACCATTTTTTCAGTGTGGGATGTATGCATGTATAGAGAATATAAGCTTATACAATATAGTCTGTCTCGACATGATTGTGGATGCAGGGTCATCATCTTTGCTTTCATATTTTTCAGCACTGACAACTATCAAAATATTTAGTAAAATCTTTATTTTTCCATTGTGAAATCGTTGACTTTCGATTTAACATTATAATGCTATACATTCAACATATTAAATATTGATAAAGTTATTGTTTTGACTAACCCACACACAGTTCTCCCAAATGACATAAAAAGCTTTCTTTTTTCATTGTAAACTATGCGTGAATTATAAACTGACCATAGATATGCCCAAACATGTCTAGAGTGTTTGCATATTTAGACGTTGTTTTATTTACCTTTTTCTCCTTGACAGTCAATATAAACCCGTGCCGAGAGCTGAATAATTGTCATAAATGTAATTCATTAGATTTGAAGGATAAAGCTTGATCAAGAATCGTGCGTTTCTAGAAGATTTTACGCAGCCGCGCAACCAGGAAGAAGACCACTGCAGGGCATCTCCATAAACAAGAAAACTGCGTTTTGAAACGCCAAACACCCTACAAGTGTCGTCTTCTCTCGCAGGGTAAGTTTGGAGAGAATCGTGAGCGTTTTTACACCGAAAGCGCCTAAATTTGAAAATCTTGGCACTGCGCACCGGACTGTTTCCTCCCACCGATCTAACGGATTTCTGCTGCTGCTCGACCATGAAAACCCTCAGAGAGTCACCATTTTATCATTCATCGTCTGTCTTTATATTCTGCAAGCGTAATAACAACAATCCATGCATCCACGACGCACGAACTCTAAAATAAAAGCGCATTGCTTATCCAAGCAAATATGGCACATTATTACATACGAATTCGTGGTTGAAACGTGTCCACTCGCTCCTGTCTGTAGTCTGGTTTTGAAATGAATGACTGCCACACACCACACGTCAAAATATTTGTTTTAGATTACTGCGAGAGAAAGCACATATTTAGATTTCATTGTGCATGCGTTTCTGTTGCTGTTTCGATGTGGGTCAGTAACAAATAAGTACGTTCGAGATTATAAAAAGGATCTTTTAATAATCTAGTTTAAAACACATGTTTCAAGTCCCTAGATATGTAATCTTTGAATTAATTGTTTCATACATTTAGGAGATAAAACGTGTAGCCTATACCTTTTCATACAAATGGATTTAATGACTAAGTCCTTGCACTTTGAATGTGAGTGTACATAGATTTAATGTCAATATAAAGCATTTTTATTAAATATCATGAACTTTTGAGTCTTAAAAATTTAGGATTAGGCCTATACTCAGTTTGACCTGAATAAAACGTGCCTTGTCATGAAAAGGTCAAAATATCTGAAAAAAAAGCCTTCATGTTTTTTTTTACTTATGCCACAGTATTTGTTAAATATTAATATTTTTTACATTATAACTTTTCATTCGAATTTTAAATATATATATATATATATATATATATAGGCTATATAACAGCTACATTTTTTTTTTTTTTTTTTAAATAAAAAAGCTTTTAATGGCACTTTTTTTTTTTACAATCTCCAATCAGTTACATAGTTACATGACTTTTATTTTAGAAATTGAAAACATGTCTATCATAATCCGGACAGAAACATAGTAGCCTACGTGTGGCGTCATTGACTCCTACAATATCTTAAAGGTGAGAAAAATGTTGCTAATTCTCGTCAAATCAATTTTAGGACAATGGAAATTAGGCTATATTAATTTATTTACGCTTTTTCACTACAATGAAAGCTAAATCTGATTGTTGTCGACTGTAAGGCTCTTTCTGTTTACAGAGGGAACGGCGGACGACTTGGTCTGTAACTAATTCAGTAAAAATATACAACTGCCACCGCGAACGTCACAGCGTTTTATTTTTCTGTTAAAACAATTCGACAACATCAAACAACAGTTATCAATGTTCAACCAATTATATTTCATGTTTTTAATACAGTCTCATAAATGTTTTCTAGGCCTACCCGTATTTCAGTGACACGAGGCCAGAGTTAAACACACAACGTCATGAAAACATATCGAAACCTCGAAACATATCGTTTAACAGCTGTCTTTGGTTATTTTGCAAGGTTTTAATATTTTCAATGCGACAAAAGACAATCTTTCACAGTAAATCAATAGTTAAAAGCCATTAATTACAAGCAAAAGTGCAAGTTCAATGTCATAAAACTAAACACAACAAAAACAGAGCAGTCAGGAGTTAAGTTGATTTTGACCATTATAGTGCAATTATTTCAATAAAAAGGAGATTGGTTTCTTTGAGCACATCAGTTAATTTAGGTTATCTTTTTTTGTTGTTGTTGTTATAAATCAGGACATGTAGGACAGGTGTGACCTGCCTGAAAGTTAGTGAAAGAAATTATCTATACAAATAAAAAAATGGAGACTTAGATTACCTGAAAAATATCTCATAAAAAAATAAAAAAACAAAAATCAATTTAGCCAGTTGAAATGGGGGGAAATGTGAAATACATGCAAGGTCAACTAAAATGTTAATTGTTCTTCACAAAAAAAAAAAAAAAAGAAAAGCCCCTGAGCCCAATAT